TGCAAGAATGAAACTTCAGGAGATAAACAGAAATCAAGCAGACTAAGTCAACATCAGTTATGCAAAAAGAGGCACTTCAGTATAGCTAATAGGATGAACCATAATTTGCTGTGGGCCAGGCTTCTAGGCAAGTTTGCTGCCCTGGCAATACAACTGACAGCTTCTTGCAACAAGACGTCACAAATAATGAGATAAATACTAAAGCTGTGCCAACTAACTCTGTGCTCCTAAGAGAATGTTAGGAGCCTTTAGCCCAGCCAATAAGGCAAGTTCTCCACTCTTTGTGCACCCAGAGCTCTCATGTGAAATGCAGAGCTTTGAATGTCAAAGCAGCTCAGTACTGGATTTTAGGTATTGTTTTGAAAATCTCGAGCATATGTATTTTTCTTTTACTTTTCGTCTTTACCTAAATGCAAGTCACATGTCCCGTTACCCTCCTCATCCCTCCAATGACAGAATCACTGTACATCAGATCTAGTTGAGCCTGGTTATTCTGAGAAAAATCAGCTTTCCTGGTTTATCTTTGTCATTAAAAGTTTAACATAGGACTTACAGTCATTGTAATTTTTAAGCATAGTTTCTTCAGTAGTGGAGGAACTAACTTAGTCATACTTCTTTGGCTGTATTGTCAATTTCAGAAAGTGTTGTTGATAAGAAATATTTATATAACAGGTAATTTAAAGATTATTATTATAACAATACTGACATTAACACTAACACTTAGACTGAGGGCTAACAGAATCTTTTGCAGTTCTGTGAAAAAGACAACTTTCTGGGAAAAAAAGTGCTGCAAAATCCATGTTTATTTTTGTTATCAAGTTCAAAAGGAACATCAGTAAGAATGTTGGTGCCTGAAGTCCTTTTGTCCCCTTCAAAGAGTATGGATTGAATGTTGAAAGTTTTGTAATAGCAGTCCTTCTGCCTGTGATGGTTTTGGTGCAGTGATCTGGAAAACAGTGGTAGAGGCATGTGAAAGAAATGGGAGCAGTTTTGGATAAAACAGAACATTTTACTCTTGTAGAAGCAAATAAGCAATAATTTGCTCTCAGGAAGCTGAGCAGCTCAGGGCATGGATTACCTAAAAATCAAAATTCAATGACAATCTTTATAAAATTACATCACATTTTTAAGTTAAATATACAACAGCAGAAATGCAAAGCAGAAGCTAAAATTCTACTTGTCCCCCATGGAATTTACCATGGATCCTTTCCCTTACGCATGCCTAAATACTGAAGAACTTATCATAAATTTTGCTTTTGCATGAAAATGTTTTGCTTTCATGGACTTGGTTTGTTAAGTGACATAATGTGGGTTTGGGGTTTTTTAGCTTGTTTGTTTGGTTATGCTTTTGTTTTTAAATTAAGAAATCCCCATTTTCTATCTGGTTTTGTTTGTTACATTTTCAAAGCCCAAGATGCTTTCAGAAACAGAACTTAGATCTGGAAAAATATGGATGAAATACAGGCTGTCCTGAACTGTAAGACCTCCTCAGGGAGGAACCAAATGATAAATCAGTAATAATTGAAACTAGAATCACATTTTCATCCCAGAGGATCTCTAACTCATTTTCACCTGGATTGAGTCAGACTTTGATTTCAGCACTTTCCAGAAGTCTTTTAAAAGTGGCTTCTGCCTGTAGAGACAGATATTTTAGCATTTTTATAAGTTCTCATCATTAGTCTCCTAGCACACTGCACACTCATTCTCAGAAGACAAAAATAAACAGAAGGTCATGAATTCCCAGCACCTCAGTAGGCAGAGGGTGATCGACCATGGACATATTTTTTCCAAGCAATAACTTAATTATATAGAATCCTGTACAGGAGTTTTAGTAGACTTCAAATAAAGCTGTGATATGTTTAATATTCTAAGACCGGATATTAACTGGAATAATAATTGTACCTAGTTATGCACCTTAGTAAGTGGCAGTTACTTACACTGTTTCCACCACCTCTCAGGAAAACAGAAAAGTTTATTTTGACTTGAACTTAACTCTGCACACTACTGCATATTTTAGAAAACTGTGACTGCCTTGTCTTGTGCACTAGGGCAGCCAGAGCGTTTAGTACACAGGAGATGATATTTATACTACTTTTCTGCTAATCTGTTTTCAACATACATGTATCGTCAAACATGCATGGCTTACACTAAAGGATAGAGTTGTAGAGGAAAAAACTTTTAACAGTAAAATAAAGGCTTCAGATAAGGGGTTTTTTTTGCAATTGCACCATCTCACAGTTTGTTCTTTGCTAGATCTATACCTAGAAATATACATGTTTTTCAAGAATGTCTACAGCTACAAGGGTAATTGCTACACACATCTCTTGACATTATTTCAGAATTTGTTGTTGAGTGTGAATTTCGGGTTTTGCAAGAAAGAAAAAAAAATCCTTGGAAAGAAAATTCATCATTTCAGGAATCTGCTATACTGACATTTGTAAGCAAAGCTTCAATTAGTGTGAAGTCGGCATGTAGTTGGGAGAGTTAGCAATCCCTTCTTTTCCCTCTTAGCTATCAGTATGAGCTGTGATGAGTTTAGTTAACATAGTATGTTCCACAGATACTCGTTAGAAACATTAATTCAGGAAAGAGATAGTAGGATGTTAGCTAAAATAAGAATTTAATGGACTTCTTGTTCTGATTAAGTTCATTTGTACCCCTACACCTCTGGTGTTTGATTTCTAGTAGGACTATATTCAAAATGAACACCAGAGCATTTACTGTTGCAGTGCAAATTCCTTTGTCAAATGCTTATCCCTTCACATTAAACATACTATAGACAGAGTGGAAAAATGGCTAGCACGCTCTTCAACACCACAAGAGATACTAGGCATCACCAGACACACCCCATTAGATATTTAAATATCAGGATAGTTCAGTGTTGATGTCTATAACTAGAGTGTTACAGAATACACATACTTAAATATTTTAACTTGCTTGGCATCCACAGTTTTCTCCCCATAAGGGAGAGGGCAGTATTGTTTCAGCTCGGAAATAGATTGCTATCACCACCCAGAGGCTGGCCCTTTGCAATTGTTATGGGTCCCTTCCTAATTAGATGCGCAGCAAAGTGTTGCTGATCCAAGGGAGGTAGCTTGTAAGGCAATTAGTAGGAAGGGTTACTCCTTGGGAGTGGACATAATTCTTATCTCTAACAATTTGATTTGGGGGAGTGGGCTTCACAAATTGGGCTGAGGCAATTGATACCTCTTATTAAGTCTGGCAGTTGCATGCCTCAGGTAGACAGTCATTGCAGTACTTTCAGCCACATAATCAGATTGCGAACACCAGTCTAAGGCTGTGTGTGATCATTTCTGAGCAGGCGTGCACAAAAAAATTAATTGTGATTCTCTATCAATTTCCAGTTAGATTTGTTCTTTTAAGTCAAAATTAGCCTAGCCATCATAAAGGTAGAAAATAAAAAATACAGTTCTTGGACTATTTTTTAAATGCTGAGATCACCTGTGTGACCTGACTGGCAATTTGGGTTCTTCATGGATGTTTGTACAATACATTCAATACTACTGAGCATCCAGCAGTGCATCAGGGCTGTCATGGTATCACAGTGTTCACAGTCTCTCCAAGCTTCTCTTTATAATTCTTTATTTATTTTAAAACTTTGACTAGCAGACTCTTTTGAAAACAGAAGTTATGTCAAAGTGATGAAAGTGTGGTCAAAAGCAGTGTTCTTAAAAGTAATCATAAAATTATTACATTTGAGAACAAGTTTGGTTTTTTTTTCTTTTTTTTTTTTTTTTTTTTTAAGAAATGTATTTTTTGTTTTCTTGCTTTGTTGGCATGCTGTAGCCATTAGCTTGCAGTAGGGAACTTCTCATAATATGTCTACTTAGTCCAGATATTTTAGGTTTTGAGGGTATTAATTTCTTTTTTAAAAGCAAGTATCTGATTCTTAACTTCAACGTTTTGGAAATCCCATTATGCTACTCAGGGCTGTATGTTATTGAGACACTGATGGGGTGGAGAGTGAGGTGAACTGCAGTGCAGCACAGGACAGATAGTTCATACAGCACTGAGCAATGCAATAGCCTCTACAAGCCATGGGAAACCCTTTGTGAGCTAATTATATAGACCTTGGAAACAGAAGCAGCAACCACCCATTATGCTGAAAGACTGCAAGGGATTTTGAAGATGACCTAAAACTTGTGATGAACTGTAGGCCAAATTCTCCACAATACCTCAGGTATTTTGCACCAGGATAATAAATTGATTTCATGTATTAAACCTACTGTAGTGGGGAAACAGCCTAGTTCTTCTCATCCCCTTATTCTTTTACCTGTAATGTGATACATTGTTATGTTCCTGTTGCACTAATTCAACAACAAGCAGGAAACAGATGCCTAAGTTAATCATGAATATAAAATACATCAGAGAGTTCCTCTTTGCCATATGACATGTTTATAATGTGATTGCAGGAAGAATTTCTTGAGAGATCTGCAATGGATAGACCTATTAAAGCACTAAAATAATTTCGTAAGGGACATAATAACATTTGAAGATGGTGTATGTCTTAGCTGACTTGTGCTTTGTAAGATTCTGAAACATTACCACCGAAACTCGGGAAGGGTTTCTGAACATATGCCAAAATGAACAAAACAAAAGATCCACTACAGGTGGTAAAGGTCTTCTAGAAAACAGAATCAATTTATTTGTTTATTTATTTTTCTTTTTTCAGTATGCCTTTTTATCACTGGGAGGTTTCTCAAAGCAAGAATGTCTTTCAAAATAAATACTTGAGGCATACTCTGGCTACGTGTCCCGCAGACCTGTAAGTCACAGATACTCCCAGGTGTCGTCCATCTGTTTTTTTTTCGGCTTCTCTACCGCCCTCGCTCGCAGCCAAGCGCTGACGGGTCCGGACGTCCCGATGCGGCCCCGGCCCAGCCCCGCTCCCTTCGCACCGCGGGGGCGGCACCGGGGGCGGGCGGGGCAGTGCCGTGGGGCCCGGCCCGCCGCGAGGGCAGCCCCGCCCTGCCCCGCCAGCCCCGGAGAGCCGCCGTCGCTCCGTCCTGTGCCGTCCGAGGGGTTTTTGGAGCTTTAGCGAAGCCAGGACGGTCCCTCTTCCTTGAATGCCGCGTGAAATGGGTTTCCTGGGCAGGCTGGCGGTGCTGCCAAAACTTGCGGCGGCGGGCCGGGCCGGCGGGGCCTGGCGGCGGCGGGGCCAGCCCTGCGCGGGGGTCCCGCTCCCGGGCCGCGCCGCCGCTGCCCTCCGCCTGCCGCCCGGCGGCCGCGCCGCCTCCTCGGGGGCGCTGGGCGAGTATGAGAAAGTTTTCCGGTCCTCCGTGGCGGAGCCCGAGAAAGTCTGGGGAGCAGCCGCCGAACAGATCCAGTGGGACAAGCCCTGGGTCCGGACTCTGGAGAGGGGCAGCGCCGGGAGCGCTTCCTGGTGAGTGCCCGATTGTCCGCGGTGCGGGGCGCCCGGGCGGCAGAGCTCGGCTGTAACGGGGAGGGAGGGAGGGAGGAGGGGAAGGCTGCCTGCCAAGGGGCTGCGGGTGCGCTGAGCTGGGGGTTGTGTGGCTACCGCAGAAGTATCCCACTACCGGTCTGGGTTGGGCGGTGTGTCATCACTGATGGGGGAGATGGCTGCACAGTTTGAAGGAGTTTAATGATTACACTTGGTCAAGCTTAATGATTAAAAGCAGCATGGATCGATGTTTTGGGGTGAGGGGTGCGTGCACTGTCAGGCGTGACACACGTGTGTGGGTCCTTATGTGGCTGCATGATTTGGAGGAATGTACCTGATGTTCCCCCATCCAAACCTTTTTGGGCCCGGACTAGGAACAGTCTGCTGTGAGCATGAGAAACCCAGCATCGGGTGTCAGGGGAGGCAAGTGTATGAAAACATAGGCACTATGGCTTTTAGGGTTCTTTAATCTTAGATACTGTCCAAGTCGTAGGCCATAATTTAGATGCTGGTTAAGGTAATGTTTGGCAAAAGCATGGACATTGTATGATATATCTCCATGCAGTGAATGGCGAACTGCCCTAAACAGAATACAATATCTATCTTGTGGAAGCCCCTGGTGGTCTAGTGGTTAAGGGCGCGGCGCTGTCACCGCCGAGACTCGGGTTCGATTCCCGGTCAGGGCCACTCCCCGGGCAGGTGGAGCTCGTTAGCCCTGTAAAGGCAACCCATCTACGTCCTGAGGACCTCGCTGCCACCGTCCAAGCTCGCTTGGCCCCGGCAGATGAACCTTAGGATTAAAGGGTGGGCTCAGTTCCGCGCACACTGTGTCTCACCTAAAAATCCAATGCGCAGGCTGGAAGGTGGAAAGACCTTCCCCGGATCTTCGCTCGCGAAGACTGGCCATTATCTATCTTGTAAAATACTAGATAGGATTTTCAATACTTTCTCAAAAGTGATTTACTGTTAAAATTTTGTGTTCACCTCCATTGCTGCTTTTTCAGCAAGCTTACATCATGGTCTTTGATCTTTTCTCAAAAAGAAGCTGATATTGGACATAAAAGGCAACGTAGGGTGAGGATCATTAGTACACTGATGTTCTTTGCCCTGTTTATAGTTTTCTGGTTTGTTTTTAATTGAAAAATACTAATAATTCTAAAAATATAATTAATAATAATTTTCAAATCTGTGCAAATTAAAAGATACAGAATCAGTAGAGTGGAGCTTGATTTCTTAATGGTGTCTATCTGGCATCATTGGTTGGTACCTCTAGTAGTGAAAATTGTTTATATGTCTTAAGCTGAATTTTAGGCCACACCTGTGTAACAGTCAGAAGTCCTAAGATGAATGGATAGGGTTCACTGACTTTGGCTTCTAGGTCATGGCACTACTCAGAAAGTGCAGGTCATATTGCCTGTGTAATTAGGGTCTAGAGGAGGGTCTAGAGAACAAGACCTGTGATGAGTGGCTGGGGTTGTTTAGTAGGGAGAAAAGGAGAACTAGGGGAGACCTTACTGCTCTCTAAAACTGCCTTAAAGGAGGTCGTAATCAGATGGGTTGAGGTCTTCTCCCAAGTAACAAGTGATAGGACAAGAGGAAGTAGCTTCAAGTTGTTCCAGGGGAGGTTAAGATACTAGAATAGGAATACTGGATATTAGGAATATTGTCTATTATGAAAAATGTTTTCACTGAAGAAGTTGTCCAGCATTGGAACAGGCTGCCCCAGGAAGTGAAGGAATTGCCAAATCTGGAGGTATCTAAAAGATGTGTAGCCATGGCACTTAGGGACATCTGGTATGGTGGTAGACCTGGCAGTGATGGGTTAATGGTTGGGCTTAATGATCTTAAAGGTCTTTTCCAACCTAAAAGATTCTGTGAATCTCTGGTTAAAGACCAGTAAAGCTCACTGATTCTGGCATTCCTGAATAGAATAACGAAATCAATAGAATGGTTACTCTTGATGAACTAAGGAGTGAGAATATAATACATGTGAATAAGCGTGGTTTTGCTATCAAATTCTGTCGAATAAATGTGGTTTCATTTGCTGAGCACAATAAGCTTGCTTGCTGAAAGTAACATGGTTAGCTCTTTGTAAAACATTGTGACTTGTCAGATGGAAGTTACTTGGCCTTAGGAGAGAGGAAAATCGGATGTTTTGTGGTCTGAAGTCTAACTTATCTTCCAAGGTCTTTTGTATCCTTGCTTTTTAACTTGTATCTTTCTGTCTCTGTGGATGCTGATTGCCACTGACTGAAATTGTCTCGTTAATGTGGGCAAATACCTGAAGGGAGGGTGCACGCAAGATGGAGCCAGACTCTTTTCAGTGGTGCCCAGTGACTGGACTAGAGGCAATGAGCACAGACTGAAGCACAAGTTGTTTCCTCTAAACACCAGGAAACACTTTGTTTAATGTGAGGGTGACTGAGCACTGGCACAGAGTTGGTTGTGGGATCTCCCTCCTTGGAGATATTAAAATACCATCTGGACATAGTCCTTCCTGGTCTACTGGCTCTAGGTGGACCTTGTAGAAGCCTAGAAGATAAAGGGGCCAATGTGTATGTCTCAAATACCAGATAGCCAGATAGCTGTGGAGCCATCCAAGGTTATTGGTAATAACACACTGTGAGAAAGAACAGGATGTGGTTGGAGAAGGGAGCCATACAGAGCTAGAGCAGCTCTATTCTGGGACAGATGTCCTTGTTCTAATTCCTGGAGCTAAGCAAAACACAGTACAGGTCGAGAAGTGAGCATGGACTATGGAGGGGGGGGGGATCAAGGCCACCAAAGATCCCTAAAGCCCTCTAACCCACTTTCAGAAAGGTCAAGAAGGATTGTGCATGATAACTAATTTTCAAAGAAAGCAAGAAACTTATCTGTAAAGGTACCCCCACAAAGCCTGGGTGCATGTGCACCAGAGGACCCTGGACAACCCATTAGCTGGGTCAACACCAGGTTGTAATTGTTTGCATGTCCGATATCTGTTACTGTGTGGGTAATAAAACTTTAGACAATTCAAATTTATGTAAACCTCTGTAATGTCTTAATGTGCAACATGCAGTTTTATTTCTGGTTTTAAGTTCACCTGAAGTGCCAACAGGCTGTATGTGATACTAGTGTTGTACTTTAATGCCTCTGAAGTCCCAGACTATTACCAGGATTCAGTGTGCTCAGCAGGATGACAGATAGGTAAGTTTTTTCGGTATAAGAGAGAGAGAACATGTCTTTTAGGTGACAGGCTGAAGAGAAAACAGAGAATGGAGCTCAACTGAGAAAGAGACCAGGCTTCCAAACTAAAACGTAACTTGCTGTTTTAACAGGGTAAAGATGGAGTGCTGGTTCAGAGGTTTACTATGGAAGCTGTTTATGGAGATATATTAGGTAAATTAGGAAATACAATTTTTTCAATATCTTTGTTTTTGGTTGCCAAACCTGAGACTTAGAGAAACATATGCTTTTCATATATTTTCCAGTGTCATTTACTTCTGTCGAAGAAGTTGAAAGAGGGAGTATTTTATTACTGCATTTAAAATGTAGCTATAAGGCAAGTCTTCCTCTCTAAATACACTCTAAGTACTCTAAGTGTGAAAGCAGCGTGCCCTTGTGTTTCTTCTTCAGTCTCTGCCATTGGAAATATTAGTACCATGTCAATGGGATGCAAAATGATTTCCAAAAGGTATTGAACAGTGTCACCATCCCTTGACTGTTTTTTTTTTTTTTTTAAGGAATAATTCCAGATACCATTCACTGTTCTAAGCTGCATGAGTGGCTGATACAGGACAAAATAACATCTTGTTTAGCTTACATCAAAGATAATAAGAGCTAAGAAGCATGATTAGTCAAGAAAAGAATGAAGGAATTTAAATTGTTTGGTTTAAAAGCCAAAAGAGAGACCTAAGTTTTAAAACACGTAGAATTTGGCAAAAAAGTTGAAGGAAAAAGTTCTTTGAGTTGGCTTTGAAGAGGTCAAAACTGGAAGTCTTAAATTACAATGTGGGAAACATGGTCTTTAGATATTAAAAAGAAAAATCTAATGCTCAGATTAGTGAAAGACTTGAACAGATTATTTTGGGATCTTGTGGAATCCCAGTTGAAAGGACTAAAGCAAGTATTTTCTTTAGAACTGTGGAAACAGTTTTTCTTAACATGTGCAGGCAGAGGGCAATTTCACAACATATTTTTTTTCTGTGATGCTAAGATGTAAGTGTAATATATAATCCCCTTTGAACTTCAGGAAGGTTGCCCAGATTGCTATTCAAATGTTGCCTTACACTTTAAAAAATGTGACAGGATCAATTAACATATTAACTCCAATTATTTAATATTGTCATGGTTTTGTCTAACATTTTATTCAGCTTCTGCTCTCATTTCACCTAGAAAAATTAAAAAAATCCCTTTGATTCCTGGGAACCAAGCTTAGAGAAGTATATATACCCTGTAAAAGAATTTTAGCAATCTACTTTATTCAAAAGATTTTTTAAAAAATATATTAAATATATTTAATAATAATTTTAATGCTTTTTCTTTGGCATATGTGCCATCTTTATTCAAAACCTTTTCTTTCTTTCCCTTTTTAAATTTTTTTATTAGCTTTAGCTCTCAGCCACTGCATGGAGAGTAAAAATTATCTCTGAATACAGCTGCTTTGATTCTTAAGATAGCAGATGGTGTTGGAAATTTCAAGATAACTTTTGAATATTTGAGTGAAATTAATTAAGTCATAATTATGTGTTACCCTCTTCAATACTGTACTTATTTCATTAATAGCAAGTAGGCTTTTGTCGCACCCAAAAAAATACCAAATGCAGTAAAAAAATATTTCCAAGCCATAGATAGTACATATTAAGCTGTATGTAATGGGAGTCCCACTATGGAAGACCTAAGGAACTGACTTACCAAGACTAAAACATGAAGATCATTTTTTTTTGTGTCCTCTTCTACTCCTACTCCTTAAACATTAATATAAAGTAGTAATTTTATGTTATGATTTAAGGGTCAAGTGCCAGTGCTTGAGATGTGTTTGTGAAACAACAGAAACTCTGAGAAATCTCAGGGCTGGGGTGAGATGGGAGGTGCTGAGCCACAGTCACAAAAGGGCAGTATGGCATAAGTGACTGCTGAAGGCAGCCCTAAAGATGTTCAAGGGGGTCCTAATTTCTGTAACCAGACTCAAATTGTTAAGAAGATGCCTTATTAGGTCTACGTTAGACATAATGTGGCTGCTGCTTTCATGGATGTATGGGGGAAAAAAACCTAAACAACAAAAGGATAGATAGATATTGTCAGAATACTGGTTTAAAGTGTTGCTGTGAAGCTAGCTGTTTTGGTGTTATAGCCAATTTTGGATATTATAGCCAAAGTTCTGTGATCTTTGACTAAGACAACCATGTCATTTTTTCCACCGTAGCACCAGTGGATAGTAGACAAGCGTTTCAGAGACTGCTAGTGAACTGAATATAGTTTCTTTAATCTGTTAGAGTTGTTACTGTGTACTATTATTACTTGTTTTGCTCTTCCTCTGCTCCACTTGTTTTATGTTATGAAATTGTCAGCATTAGGAACACAGTGTACAATAAGGTTCCTCACAACTGGATTTGGTTGGTAAGCTGCATTGAGATAATTGTTTGGTTAGCAATAGATTAGCATTTTTACACATGCTTCTTATGGCAAGATTTACTGGCAGTTCTTACAAATGACCTGCAAATCCACTTCTGGTCTTTCTGCAGTCTACTGAAATATTTCCTTTCTCATTCTAGACCTCTGTTTTAAATAGGAGCATCTTATTGACATCCTTATAACAATGGTCCTGGTTTCATGCTGCTGTTTCTTTTCAACTAAAGTTTATTTAAGCAAATCAGAGTTCCTCACAGGTGTTCATCTGTGTGAGACTTGCTAGAACAGAAGTTTGCAGTAGCACAGGGCAGCTCTTTAAAGCCAAGCAGCTTTTGTCAGCCAGAAAGAGGTATTTTTGAGGATGTCCTTGGGTAACACTAAGGAAGCCAAGTTCTTGCAATTGTGGTTGGTGCACTTCTGCTTTTCTGATCCCATCAGAACCTCTATCCTTTTTAACAGGGTAGCAAAGTTCTCATCACACTTTCCAGATAGTCTTGTTCTTGATTCAACCTGCAGTCACATCTCTGTCACACACTTGTTTTTAAGGGATTGCTAAAAATTCACATGGTGATGTTGATGTTGATGAATCAAAGCTCTGGTGCCTGCTCATGTTTTGACCATTCTTAAGCGATTATGCATAGCAGCCAGATATTGTGCTCCCTTGTTCCCTTGTTCATATCATCCTACAGTGATTTGATATAAAATCAATGACCCGATTCGTACACAACTTTTATGACAGTGGTACAGAGTTTCTCTATATTACATGAAACAACGCCAGATCCTTTATTGCTTATGTGGTTTTCCTTTTATGGCAAGGGGTTTATAGTACAGAATGGTTTTGTGACTTCCGTAGTCCCCCACTTTCTTACTAATAGCATTGTAAAAGAGTTATCTAACTGGTTTTGGTTTCATAATTGCCATTGTTTGACAGTGAAGACTATCCCATGGCATCTCTACATATGGGTATAAGAATAATATGTAAAATATACTAATTTAGAGCAGTCATTTACTAAACAGGAAAAAAGCAGAAGGAAATATTTATTTTTAACTAGTAGTGGGTTACTTTAGGCCATTTATTACTTCCAGTTGCACTATAACATTACATTATAACATTACATTACATAGACAGTGTTCCCATACAACCTTTTGGAAACTCTCAACTATGTATGTTCTGTATGTTGTTATTTATGCTGCAGAGATACCTACAGATAGAGAAATAAACACTGGGCATCATTTAGTGAACTTTAATTTTTAGATTTTTTGTCATCTTTCAGTTAGCAGAGTCATCTTTGTATCCAGTGCAGTCTATATTTTTGTATTTGAGGATTATGTTGCACTTGAATTTCCTTTTCCTATATAAAATGACAATAAACATGAAATCTGAATTTGTAAAATGTTTTTCTTTAATTGGAAGATTAATGTCTGGCTATTGAAGAGGCTATGACTCACATTGCTTTACAGAGAATTTTGAGTCAGTGATGTAAAACAGTGTTGTCAAATGCATTATAATTATATGATCTTATTACTGTTGGGGTCAGTTTCACTTAGCTACAGACGGATGCTTGTATGCCTAACAGTTATTGCCAAGAGATGAATAAGACTATTTTGAGTCCTGAACCTGTTCTCCATAAAAAGGATATGTGTGTGTGCCAATGCAAAGTAGCATAATAATGTTTTCGTAATGTTGGATTATTTTATGTGAATTTATGTTTTTTCTGTGAGACCATAGATGTGAAAATCAGTGATTGATACAAAGTACACTAAACCAAGATCAAGTTTAGCAGATTCTTATTTAAGTCAATTAAGGTACAGTACTTTAAGTTCTATGTTTTCACTAATAGTCCTTTTTGGCTTTTTGAGTAAATCTTGAGGTTATAGAATAAAAAATTACTTCCTGAAGTGATTATAATATTTTAAGAGTTATATTTTAATTGAGTACTCTCATTCGTTAAAACAACCCCTTAAAATACAAAAAGTTTTAGTTGTCTTAGTTTGGAAGACCGGCTGTTACATACTTCCAACTTCTTTTTTAGGTTTGTAGGTGGAGAGCTGAACATCTGTTACAATGCTGTAGATCGTCATGTTGAGAATGGCCGAGGAGACCAAGTTGCCATTATTTTTGACAGTCCTGTAACAAATACCAAAGAGAAGATAACATATAAGGAACTTCTTGAGCAGGTGTGTTTCGGAATAACCTTGTTATAGAAAATGGGCAGTAATTATTGCACAACGAGTAGGTACTGGAGGGGTAAAAATGGTCTACCTCTCTGGTTTATTCCTTTTGCTGTGCTCAGTACTGATTTATAAGCTTTACTACCTGTACCAAATTATACTGCATCCAAGACATTTTGATTATCTTCTATTTCCTCTTTTTCTTCTACAGTTTAATAGTTCTTTTTCCCTGGTTGGTTAAATTTTTAACTTGTCTCTATTTGATTTAATTTTTTTCCCTTAACAGTTCTTATTTGAAAGGTAAAGCAAAGGAGTACTCAAGTTATTTGACAGTTGCTATGATGAAAGAATATACAGTTTTGCAGAAATGAAATGTGTGTGTACCTTGGCTATTGCCGTGCATAAGTGAGTGTAACCACAAATGAAATTTGACAGGGGGGAACTCTAAAAATAGCTGTGTCACCTGCCCCATTGTAGGCTGTCATGGGGGTGCTGGTGGTTGCTGGTGGCCCTTCCACCTGGAATGTCTGTGGATTTCGATTTCCCTGTTGGCTGAGCCGTGAATATCTCGTTCTGCATCAGCCCATTCAGATTTACCCTGTGCCTGACCACGAGTTGTTGCCACCATGGGTGTTTGGAGTCTTCCCCATTCAAGGTTCTCCACTCTCACAGCTGTCAGCTGGTGGTTTGCCCTCCTGCTGCTCCTCTGTTTTAGCTGACTTCTTCCTTCCAGTTACACCTAACAGTTGAACTTAACACTGAGTACAGTGAAATGTTCTAGTCAGGCTCATATTCATCCTTAATGTGTTTCAATGTGCAAGAAGCATTACAGTGACTGGAACACACTCAGTTTACTTCAGATACGCATATAGTGTCTGGATTAATGTGAACTTATGGTTTAAAATGTGAAATGAGGTTCATAATACAGTAATTCATGTTGTGAGGGTTTTATTCCACTGTTGTAATAAAAGAGAAGTCATACAGCTACCAAAAAATGATAAACCTGTTATGCGTTCTACCTTTTAAGGAAAATACAGAAAACATTTACTCTTTACCAGTTTTCTTTTGATTTACCTGGTCCAAAAAATAACTTGGTAGGTACCATACAGTAAGCTGGAGCTTGAACAACTAACCACAGTGTTGTAAGAAAACAGAAGACTTTAAAAGGGCCCAGCTCCTTATCTAAATCTATTAATAGCTATATATAATAAGTATAATTTTATAGATACAATTTTTGTGTAATTTGCCTTTAATAACTACAATATATACACAATATATACCCAGATATATATGTATATATGAAATCAATGTATATATACATATACATATAAAATACATGCTTATTTTTAATGAAGTAATGCAACATTTTAAAATCAGTTGTCTTAAGTGAACTCTGCAGAAATTTCCTCTGAAGGGAACTTGAAAAGTAGCCTTTGTTCTGCTTTTTAAGCTTGTTATTGTATTAAGTCTTCTAAGTTTCTGTCTCTGTATTCTCTGCAAGTGTATTAAATGTTTTAGGATATGGCAGATTTGTGCAGAATGAGAAAATTTTACGTGTTGACATACACATCCTTTCATCCACATTTCTTCTTACAACAGCATTGCCAAACCAAATGCAAGAACTGGTTTAAATTTTCTGAGGCTATGTAACAGTACTCATTCAGAAGTTCATTATAGTCTTGCTGGTAGCTGAGTCCTATCTAAATACTTTTTTTGAATTCTCTACAGTTTATTTTTCTTAATCAAAACTGAATATGAGTGAAAGGTATTAGTAGGTTGTCTCCCAAAGCTTTCTGCTCAACTCTTGTGGAATAAATTTAATTATGTTTACCTGCTAACTACTGGACACCTGATAACAAAAGTAAAAGAGATCTGCTGAAAATGGGAGGGCTATAGGCTGGTATATTTTTGTGTGTGGATCTTGTAGATGCTAGGAGAGACTTTGAGAAAAGGCCTACCAAAACCACTGTACAGTATGGGTGTTGATGTTTGGCTCACATCCCTCTGTCATTGCTTGTCAAAGTGTTCTCAGTCTGTAACTGTGTTCTCTCTGTAACCTAAAAATACTATATTTTATCATTTTGAAATAGACTTCATACTGAAATAGATCAGTATGAGCGCAGATCAGACATATGACTAAAGCTGATGAACCTCCTGATGGGGAAGGAAACCTTTTACCTTTTTTCAGGAGTGCCTTTCCCAATTTAAACCAGCCTGAAAGTGTGTATCTGTATTCAGACCATTGTTTGGACTGTTCCCATCCAATGAATGTTTAGTAGTCTGTCTGACCAGTAAGCTGATAGTGTAATGAGAATGTCTTTTCAGAAAGGCTGCCTGCAAAATGACTTTACAAGAGATCACTTGAAGTAGTGGAATTCTTTCTGGCTTTTGGTAATAAAAGTGGCGTTTATAGATGTTTTCAGCAGAAGTTATGTAGGATTACTGGGTCACAGAATGCGAAGATGCAGACTTTTGTAGCAGGTTGGGTTATTTGCTCCAGGATCAAACTCGTGATAAGGATGAAAAAAATGGTGAAGGTGTCTAAGCTGGGTTTAATAAGGCTCCTTAGAAATAGCTTGGGCTCTGTATTCAGCCTATTATTTTCATATTATCCATATCCTTTTTCCTTGTTGCACTGAGTTTTAGATCTAAGAGCTACAGTGATGCTGCAGTTTTGAAGTTAAGCACCACTAAACTGTAAATAATTGAGAGAAATGTTGAAAGTCTGTTTAGTGCCCAACCTATGGGAAACTTTTTTTTCCTAACAAACCTGGAAAAGAAGGATTGCAGGAAAGCTTTATAAAATTCTTATTGATGTAAATAATGGCAAGATCAGTTTGTGTTGATATTCTGTACAACTATACTGCTTTCACACTCGGAAAGTTTTGAGAATTACAGTTAGTTAAAATGAAGTTGTACACAGTGCATGCAGTTGCATCTTCAGTGTGTTTATATGTTGTTACAGATTAAATCTTCCAAATGAAGAGGAGGAATTTGGCAAATTTAAGACACATGAGTCTTCCAGAATGCACTGATTGGTCTTTTTTCTTAATAGGCCTTCAAATGTGGATTACAGTGTTGAAGCCAGTAAAATGGAGATGTAGGTGGAAGTTTTGAATATGCCTTGGGAAATTCTCTAATTTCAGTAGTGAGATGGCAGAAAAAGATAAGGGAGACACAAATCACCAAGTGTATGAACAAGGGCAAGTGCCAGATTCTGCACCTGGGACGGGGCAGTCCTGGTTGTGTGTATAGACTGGGAAACGAGACACTGGAAAACAGTGTCTTAGAAGGAGACCTGGGGGTCCTGGTCAACAGCAAGTTTAATGTGGGTAAGCAGTGCCCTGGCAGCCAGGAGGGCCAACCTTGTCCTTGGGGGCATCAGGCAAAGCATCACCAGCTGGGCGAGGGAGGGGATTGTGCTGCTCTACTCTGCACTGGGGCGGCCTCACCTTGAATATTGTGTGCAGTTTTGGGCACTACAGATATAAGAAAGATACTAAGCTATTAGAGAGTGTCCAAAGGAGGACCATGAAGATGATAAAACACCTTGAGGGGAAGCCGTATGAGGAGTGGCTGAGGTCACTTGGTCTGTTCAGCCTGGAGGAGACTGAGGGGAGACTTCACTGCAGTCTACAACTTCCTCGTGAGGGAAAGAGGAGAGGCACATACCAATCTCTTCACTCTTGTGTGACCAGTAGTAGGACCCAAGGATATGGCATGAAGCTGACTCAGGTGAGGTTAAGGTTGGATATCAGGAAAAAGTTTTTCACCCAGAAGGTGATTGGGCACTGGAACAGGCTCCCCAGGGAAGTGGTCACAGCACCAAGCCTGACAGAGTTCAACATGAGAGACAGAGAGACAACAGAGAGACAACACTCTCAGGCACATGGTGTGATTCTTGGAGTGTCCTGTGCAGGGCTAGGAGTTGGACTTAATGATTGTGATGGGTCCCTTCCAACTCAGAATATTCTATGATTCTATGAAATTCTGTTAGAAATATTACTGAATCTGTGTAGTATTAAGGAAATACAAGGATACCAGAAGGAAATAGGGGGCAATGACTTCTGTTCATTTGAAAAGAAATTTTTTGATTGTGTTGGAAGACACTATCATTTTCAAGTTAATGCAAAGGTTATTAGGTAGGTGAACTATCCCTTCTGTTTAAATCATTAGGTGTATTCTTTAAAATGCCTCATTTGCTAAAAGGAAATCTCAAGAATTTGAAAGTTGTATTATTTGCAGCTGTTGATGCTTGACAGATCATGTACACAAACCCAGTATGATTTCTCTCTGTGATTCTTTTTAATAACAGTGCACAGTTAACATATTGAATTCAGTGCCATAATAAATAATTTCTAAGTGCAGTAACATGACAGGATTAGTAATAACAACCCTCCCCTGCCCAAGCCTCTGAGAGCATTGAATGTTACAGAAGCATGGATGAGAAAGAAGGGCTTCAGGTTATCAGAAGTGGGCTAAGATGTAATTTCTTCTGCAGGAAGGTTTTTTTTCTGTAATTACGCACCCTAAAACTATCTTCTTCCAGAATAACTATATTAACCTAAGTCATTTTGAATTTATGTGAATTGACATGTCTTTTGCTGCTCATATCTCATATCCACTATATGACTGAGGAATCACACAGATCATTTTGTTTTTTGTCATCTTTCTTACTCCTTTTTTTTTAACTCCATCTTCTTTCTTTCTCTTCTGCCTTGAAAAATGACTAACTCCTTCTTAGCTAGAAATAGGGATTTTCATTTCAGGGTAATTTTTCTCAGAGTTGACTTAGAATCAAAACTAGAATACAGTAAAAAAGTCCTACTGAGACTGACAACCCAAATGTTTATCTTCTTTGCTAGTAAACCAATAGTATCTTGATAAAACAGTGTATTAGACTCACTTAATGCTGGATATCCTTAGTAGGAGTGTACCTGCATCATTACCACCGCAGGTTCTTTATATATTGCATTTGAGACTGTGGCTGGGCTTTTGTGCAGAAGCTGAGGAGGGCTGTGTGATCAAGGCATGCTACATCCATGGATTATGTGGTTTCCAGGACTGTGCCTGGTACCCAGGCAGAGCTGGGATGGGGCAGGTGGTCTCTGATAGAGCTTGTTGCTTCACAGAACTTCCCTCACAGCCCCCCAGAAATAATTTCTGAGTGCATAGCAGCTCTCAAAGGCAATCTAGAGACTCATGCTACCTTCCCACAGGTCTGCAACCAGTGCTCTATTTCCATCAGAAACCTCATAAGCACAGTCCTTCGCTCAATACATGTGCAGGAAAGGAGAATGAACACTCACTCCTGTGGGCACCTGGACCATGGCCTATTGAGGATCATGGCAGAGGGGATGTTCCTGCATGTTATTTTGTGGATGTCCTCTGGGGGTTGTAGGCATGTAGATGCATGCAGCACCATTGCCATGCTTTTCCCTAGACTGTGTCCCAGGACTGCTGATCCTGGGACCAAGGATGTTGGTGTCTGTGAGATTAGTGGAGTGCTTTCTCCTCCCCTGAAGGTCTGTTCAAGATATCCATGCTGGCAGCACACATACCATCTGAAACCATGGTTTCATCAACCTCTAAAACATGGTTTTGCCACCTCATCAAGAATATGGTCTTCATCTAATTGAAATGAATGCAGAAGTACTTTTCAGTTCTCTCCCACTGTGCAGCAGGCTTGATATTAGTAACAGGGTGATGCATCTGCTGGAGAAGCTTTTACAACAGTAGGAGAAGGAGGAAACAATAATTAAGAAGATAATTAGAAGAGTGAAGAGACTGATGAAGGAGTGGGGAGAGTAGGAAGGAGCACTTTCTTTAGTATTGGAAAAAGAATATGGTGGATCAGCTGAAGAACTTAAGGTGACTCTGCCTCTGGCTTAGAGAATGCTAATGTGACATGGCTCTTTTCACCTCATGAGGTGCAGTTCAGGATATTTCAGGAGCTCTCGTTTTTTGAACAATCCTTTTCTGTTTAGCTTGCATTGAATGATTCCACACTTGTGAGACCCAGTCATTGTTCAAGCCAGGAAGGTTTGAAATTCCTCTTTTGAGCATTTTGAGTGGGATTTCTGGTTTAGTATCTTCTAAGAAGAATTCTTTTGGCATGGACCAAAACTGCTTTTAATAACTACTAGGGATTTACTTCAGAACTGCATCCCTTACAAACCTGAGCTGCTAATACAGCTGTAGTATTTGTTTGGTGGCTGTGTAAAAGTAAAACCATGCTCACTGGGGACTTGCATTTGAAAGAAGTGTAATTTATGCCCCAATCTTCAAAGCTGAAAGCTTACTTGAGTTTCATATTATATCACTTGGTCTCAAGTGATTTTATTACTGAAGTGTCAAATATATTGAAGTGATAGAGCAACCTTAAAATGGAAGAAAAGTGGAGAAATAACATGTTAGTTTTTGAGTGATAAAGTACACTACACTGTCGTAATGTAAACCATAAATGGCAAAACATCATAAGAAAGTAAAAGATTTTATGGCTTTTAACAATTTAATAAAATGTTAGTACTCACTATTCCCCAATCCCCTTCTACTTAGAAAGTGATTGCTTGAATGTTTCAGGGCTACCACGTCAATCTGTAAGGCAATGTAAATCTGCTTTCCGATGTTCTGTTGTCTTCCAAGTAGTTGCAGATAGAGACACTGTTTTATTATATTGTCCAAATGTTCCCTGGCTGTCAGAAGGATGAGGGAAAGGGCACAAGGAAAATCATAGCGTATTGTATTGGATTATTGTCTTCAGTGACATTAAACTCTAGGGTGGGGAGGTTAAGTGCAGACAAGTGCTTACTGGATTTGCAAAGTTGACATGTGGTTCCTGTCTACAGCATGCTGCATGTGTTTGGCTTTAAATACAATTTATGTCTGTTAGTTTTCAGTAAAAATGGTTGCAGTACATGTAGATCTCTTCACTGTCTTCCTCCTACAACCAAGAACCAAAGTAATTTAGCTCGTCTACAGGCACTGGGAGTCTTCTATTACAAAATTACTAATTATGATGTTTAAATTATGCTTTTTGCTTTAGCAGGCAAACACTGCCTTTTTAATAATCATTAATAATTATTTATGAAATAAATATAATCAATAATAATACTTTTCTATTTAACTTTTTATTGTTCACTACCCACACTTACAGTCACTATAAAAATACTCATTTGATATTGTTTTCATTGCCTTTGGCCTCTTTGTCAACACTCTTCTTGAGAGTCTCACAAACAGGAAAGATAATGATTCGTTTTCTTGTTTCTTTTTGAGATGATGATGTTAGCTCTGTGTTACAATAAGTTTGCAGATTTTAATTTTTTTGCAGTAGGAGGTATAGAATACTAATTTATCTTTGGAAGTAGAGTTGTTATCTTTACTTACAATTGCTTTCACCAATTCTAGCTAGAAATGACTGTAAATGCTGGAGTTATGGCAATAAATTATAGCTGTGTACATGTCCAGTCTTTGTTTTTTGTTGGGTTTTGATAGTGTATGTCATGGAGTATTGATAGGTATTAATAAGTTTAGCATTAGCATTAGCATCTCTTGAACATCAGTGGTATTTCATGTAAGAGATCTGTTACATATAAATCAAATAGATACTTTAGTTTGTATGAGTTTTCAGTTTGGTGTGGTGATGACTGCCTTATGAACTTTCTCTTGTGGTTGAAAATAGCAGCAGGGATTTTTGCAGCGTTTATGGAAAATGGAACTTACACGGTTATCTTCTGATGCAAGAGTGCATGCTTGAGGCTTCTGTGCTTCCATTTTCTTAAATGCTCAGGCAGAAGTGTAGAAATATGCATAGTGTGATTGTGGATGTGTTGTGACTTAGTGCAACAACAGAGCAGATGCATCTGGAGCTTCTGGATGTTACTGTCCCATGGTACTGAAAGTCTGAGTATAGGTTTCCACAGAAGGCAGAAGCAGTGAGCAATGCTGTATTGTCCTCTTCAGTGTCTGTATCAGACAGGGTTCTAGCACTGTATGTAGCTACACTTTAAATAGAGAAAACTCAAATTTTTAAATAATATAAATGACAGTAGTTTCAAAGAAAATCTACTCTCCTGACTAGCTTATCCTTGAAAAAAAGGTTCCTTCCCTTCTGTCCTGCTTGCACGTGTATTATTTGCTTAGGCTGCCCCCATTGCTTGCATTATTTGATGGGTCACTCAAAACATTCTTACTGCTTCAGAACCTTGGGTGTTTTTTATTTGACAAGCAACATCCCACTGTTGCTCTCAGGAGTTTATCTCCTCTTTCCTTTTTTTTTTTCTGATAGTACCTGAAGAAGAGAGTCTCTTACAAGACTAAATTTTGTTTGAAACCATATCTGTGTGAATAAATGAGGAATAATGCAGTACGGGAAAGATTTGAAGAATTTATGTACGAGTAGATTTATGTTACAGTGATCGTAAAAGAAATTAGAATCTTTGAACTTCTTATGTTTATTGTAGGATTTTCTATTAATTGACAAGCTCTTAAAGAATAGTTTTACTGCAGTGGGTAAGAAGACTTTCCCTGGAAGACAGAGCAACTCCTTTGTTCTGAACTTAGATTTGTCTTCACTTAGTCCAAGAACGTTCTAGAGAATTTCTTATCATTGATGTAAAACTAACACAAGCAAAACTCATGTTCTTTTTACTGACATGTAACCATGTTTACAGAGCATTCCAGCTCACAACTTCCTGGGGAGTTTCTCCTTTCATCCTGTTCCAAATAAGTTTATTAGTCTACTTGGTTTCTTTTTAGTCTGCAGTTTTTCCTGTTAACCTGATAGCCTGTGCATTGTGCACAGGGACATGGAGTTTTACCCTATTGCTTATATACGTCTAACTGAAGAATTGAAAGGCAGTGAGCAGGTTTAGGTACGGAGTATTACACGGCTGTCAGCCTCTGGAACTCAAGAAAATCTCTGATAGGTGAGTTCATTCAGTTGCTCTTGAGGAGTTAGTAATTTGCTTTTCCTTCAGAAGATGCCACATTTCCATGCCAGAACAAGTGGGTGGGAACAGGTGCACTCTTAAATCTAAACACGTTTCTCTGAATTTGTATTTAGGATTGGTTCAGGTTATAAGATTTCTTGTCTCAGATTATGAGACGTTTCCAACACTGTAGTAGAGAAAATATTACTACATATTGATTTGTGTTTCAAACTTTGCTAGTTAGGACAGAATTTGCATTATGAAATGCCCTGCTTAAATTCATTCTTTATAGCTGAAATGGAGAAATATAAAATGTTACCTGGATAAAAGAATGAGTGTTTAGAGTGTAATTTAAAAATTTGCAAAATATTGCTATTGATTTTGGTTTTTACTACAATAAGTACAATTATTAGCCTCATTGCATTTTTATGGAAGAAAAATGTATTACAGTGTTTTTTTTGCAAAAAGGAAATTGTCTTAAATTTATTGAACCTGAATTGCATCGTTCATCAACTTTCCATATCATACTGTCTCCTTAATGTCCTGTGTCTGTTGACTGTGTAAAAGTTGTTTACATATGGGGCACCAGCAGATCTGGAGAAAGTTTTAGTATGTTGTGAATGTTTCATCATTACAGGTCTCCAAGTTAGCTGATGTCATGATCAGACACGGCGTGAAGAAAGGAGATCGTGTGGTCATCTACATGCCGATGATTCCACAGACAGTGTACTGTATGCTGGCTTGTGCAAGAATAGGAGCCATCCATAGCCTGATTTTTGGTGGATTTGCATCTAAAGAGCTTTCCGTTCGCATTGATCATGCAAAGGTAATAACATATTGTATTTGGTCTGCTTGAGCTGGAGTTCATTTCCCCACAGCAGCCCTCACAGTGCTGTGCTTTGCATTGGTACCTAGAAGGGTGTTGACAACACACCGGTGTTTTGGCTAAGGCTGAGCAGCACTGGCACAGCATCAGCACTGTCTCTCAGCATTCCTCCCCCACCCCCAGCTGAGGGCAAGATCCTGGGAGGAAACACAACCAGGCCAGCGGACCCAAATTAACCCAAGGGATATTCCATACCATATGATGTCAGCTCAGATAGAAGAGCTAAGGAAAGGAGGAGGATGAGGGCATTTGTTTATGTTTGCCTTCTGAGAACCACTCACACGTGCTGAAGCCCTGATGCCCAGGAAGTGGCCAGACATCACTTGCTAATGGGAAATAGAAAATAAACCTTATTATTTTCCTCTTTGCTTGTGAATACAAATTCTCACTTTTGCTTTGGTAAACTGCCTTCTTTCAACCCACGAGTCATTTTTCCATCTTACTCTCTCCCTTGTATGGCTAGGAAGGGGAGTGATAGAGCAGCTTTGATGGGCACCTGGTGCCCAGCCAAGGTCAACACACTCCACCTATTTGGAGCGACAAACACCATTGCATTAGTTACTCCTATAAGTCAATATAACAAGCTTGTTGGTTTTCTTTTTCTTTTTTCCAGAGAGGGTAACATTTCTCTTTGTGTGGCACACAGTCTCAATTTGTTTATAATGCGTAATGGTGCAATATGAACACAATATTACATCTCTACTGAGGCTGATACTTGTATAACAGACAGAGATATGAATTTTGACCCCTTTTAAAAAAGCATGAGTTTAAAACACTGTTGTCTGTATAGAGCATGCTTTCTTCTCCTGTTGCTCAATCTTTTTCTACAAAGCATTACCTTAATACTGACTTTTTGTCCAGCATTTTCACCAAGTGTGTGAGGAAAATGCTGCCAACCCTAAATAATTTAATCGGTTTATTTGATGTTTAGACATGTTAGGTAGTACATTTTTTTCAGCTATGTTGTGGTTTAGGAATGATAATCCCCAGGTCAGTGTTCCTGCTGAAACTCTTCAAACCATGCACTGCTAGCTCACTCCCCCTTTCCCCTCCCCTCCCTCTGTGACAGGATGGAGAGGAGAATTGGAGGCACAAAAGCTAAAGATCATAGGTTGAGATATAAGAATGATTTACTGGAAACAGTAGTTTCCAGCAGTTACAAACAGTAACAGCAAGGATATTAATAACAGAGTATACAAGGGAGGCAAATGATTCACAGCCGAGTTTTCACCATGCGGAAACCCCACTGCCGACCTGCTCCCTCTGCCACCAACTGGGAAGGAAGCCATCCCACTCCCACCCTGTGTATGGCATGAGGTGGTATAGAATGACCTGAGTTCTGGCCATGCCTCTCTTGGTTACTGCAAAAATTAACCCTGTCATGGCTGGAACCAGGAGAAGCTATAATTCTACTTCATTTAATTTCTACATGAATCTGGGCAGCTGTGGAACCAGTTGCCTTAAATAAATGACTGCACAGAACATAATTAATGGAGCTCAATGCTTTAAAGACTTCTGTGTTTGGCATAAGTTGAGCTTGTTTATAAAGCATTATGTAAGTCTGTGTTAGTGAAAATGCAAATAGTATTTCACTAATCTACTTAGTAGCTTATGTATGCATTAGTTTCAACTGGAATGGTCTGATCTTGTGTTCTGCTACTGAATAAGACAAAGTCCTTGTTCTCTTGATCAGTCACCTGGATCATTCAAACTGTCTGTGGTACCCCTCTATCACTGAATCGTGTTGCTTAGACAGAACATTGTGCAGGGTAAAGTCCACAGGATTCGTGGACTTTTACTTAAATTTCTATGTACAGAAGTGCTTTTCAGATGACCAAAGTTTGAATTTGTAAATATCTGTAAATAGAAAGTTGAATGCATTTCTCTTTCACCCCTTATTATTTTAACAAAGTTAATAAAATGGCTAAAATGGCTTGATGGAATGGTGAAAAAAGGCTAACAACAACTCTCTAGTTTTCCCTGTCTTCCCACTTCCGCACTTTTTTAACAAGCTATAAAAAGTAATGTTATCTCATAGAATTAGGGAAAAATAACGTAGAAGAAAAATGATAAACTTTAAAAATGGAGGTTGTTATGATACAAATCATCTAGCATGTTTACTCAGAGTATTTTGCAATTATTAGCTAATTAATCCCAGTGCTTTCTCTCTGACGAACAGAGGGAGACAGCACGGTAATCATAATCCTTGCTTCATGTATTAAAATGAAAACAGAGAAAGTGTAAATGTTTTACCCGAGGTCACATAGCAACTCTTTTGAAGGGTTAGCTATAGAATTACTAGCTGCAGGCCATGGATTAAATCCTAATTTACATTGCTTTTTGGTTTCTTTAAAGGCAGATTTAAGTATTATGGATGATTTTTGGTCCATCTGATGCATAATGAAAATGTGAGTAAAGAGGACAGGCACATCCTCATTCTAAATTTCAAAACATGTCCCAGTTTTGTAACATGGTAAAACTTTCATCATAAGTGAATTGCACACTACTGGCGTTATATTTAAGATTTGTATATAAGTACCTGAGATAGATGATATTCTTCTGAGCTCAGAAGTTAATTAGTCTCAAAACAACCTAATCTTTTTATTAGGCTTTTATATGAATTGGTTTAGATGCTGCAATATAGGACTTGATGTTGGTGAGATTAAGTAGAAAGAGTTAAGGATGTACAATGGAAATCTGTCTGTAACATACTTTTGTGGTAGAAAGGTCATATTTCACATTCTCTTAGAAGACCTGAGTGAAAGAAATAACAAGTACTTTCTAGTGACTATGAAAAGGTACATACATGTTACCATCTTACCTTAATTTATCTTGAATTTAAAATAGGTCTGGGAATGCTGCAAAGTCCTGCAGCTGGTAATTTCTACTCATGTCAGGTATTGGCAGTTACAGGTATTCTGCACTGAATTTTGATGAAGTGATACAGATCATGAGAACAGGATTTTTTGTTATCTTTCACCTGAATCTGGGAATATATAAATTGCAATATCAAAACAACAGGTAGATTCATAGAATCATAGAACAGTTTGGGTTGGAAGAGACCTTTAAAAGTCATCTAGTCCAACTCCTGTGCACTGGGCAGGGACATCTTCAACCAGATCAGGTTGTTCAGACCCCTGTCAAACCTTACGTTGAATATTCCCGAGGCTGGGACATCTACCACATCTTTGGGTGACTTGTGCCAGTGCTTCACCATCCTCATTGTAAAAAGTTTCTTCCTTAAATCTTGTATAAATCTAGCCTCTCAGTTTAAAACCATTACCCCTGGTCCCATTGCAACAGGCCCTGCTAGAGAGTTTGTCTCCATCTTTCTTATAAGGCCCCTTGAGATACTAAAATGCCACAATGAGGTTACCCCAGAGCCTTCTCTTTTCCAAGCTGAACAACTCCAACTCTCAGCTTTCCTCATAGCATAGAGGGGCTCTGCCCCTCTGATTACCTTCATGGCTGTCCTCTGGACCTGCTTATACAGGTCAATGTCTTTCCTGTGCTGAAGACCTCAGAGCTGGATGTAATACTCCAAATGGGGTCTCACCAGAGCAGAGTGGAGGGTAGAATCACTTCCCTTGACCTAATGGCCACACTGCTTGTGATGCAGCCCAGCATAAAATGGGCTTTCTGGACTGTGAGCATCCAGTATCAGTTCATGTCCAGCTTTTCATCACCAAGTCCTTCTCAATAGGGCTGCTCTTGATCCCTTCATACCTCAGGATGCATTGATTTTGCAGAGATTACCCTGATGCAGGTGCAGGACCTTGCACTTGGCCTTGTTGAACTTATTAGGTTGTCATGGGCCCACTCCTTGAGATTGTGCTTGTCCCCCTGGTGGCATCCCATCCTTCAGGAGTGTCAACCTTTATTGCTTTTACTAAACTATGCCTTATATGTTATTTGAGATTATAGAAGAATTTGTAGGAAAAGTCTTTACAACAGAATAAAAGTGTTAGTCTTGTACTAACAACTTGTACTATTGGGCCTTGCTTTATTTCATTTCTGTTTCATAATGTGTTTTTTTCTATAGCTCACTATCTCTGGCATTTCTTCTTTAGCAGACCCTTGAACTCTCCTGGTTTTCGTTCAAACTAGTTATATTTCTGTCTAATCTTACCATGCAGGACTACATGGAGTCACAGAAGAGGTGGGAAATGGGTGTATAATAGCAATATGGGATTTGAGGTGCAGGGGAAATAATGTCGGTAGACAGAGAGGTAAAACAGTAGAAAACAGCAGTTAAAACCAGTAGTGAACCTTTAATTTGCATAGCGATCCATGATGCTTCTTCACTTGGGTAATACATCACCTTAGCCAATTTAGTATTGGTTATTTTTAGATGTCCTTACTGCATACAAAGGAGTTGATGAGCAAAGGTGGCATCATTTATAAATGACTGTACAACTAGTGATAACAGCAGTCTTTCACCTTAACAATTTAATAGAATTGTGTATCTTACATTTATTACAGTCTTAATTTCAGGGTAGCCTCCAGATGAATTTTCAGTTTAGCTGCATTGTATTGTATCATCTTTTATTAAATCACTGCATCCCAAAAGAGAAAGTTAACAAATGCTGAAATTTTAAAGCTCATCTGAAATCTTTATTTGAATACACATCAATTAGGGAGCTTCCCTGAATGGTAGATTTGGACAGGAAGCATATTGCAAAAGAAAACAATTAAATCTGTGTTTTCTCTGCTGTATTTAATGCAACCTTAACTGTGGCATTGTGGTTTGTGCCTACTTAATGAGATTTATGCTAATATATACAATTAGTAAACTAGCTTGATCAAACTGAGGGGCATAAGATACATACACTTCTAAAACTCCAGAAAGAAGGAGATTGCAGACTCATTGTTTTCCAATTAAAATGTATTCTAACACATAGTTTCTTTGGCGGTACCTTTTCTTTCCCAATAAACAAGAAATAAAAATACTGATCTTGGGACCTAAGTCAAAATATCCTGTATGCATATTTCTTAGGAAATCTTACATAAAATCTGAAGTTAAATTAATGAAAAGTTGTGAAGTCCTCATCTGGTAATAGAAATTATTCTAAAAAATCCCCAGAATTACAGAAATATGATTTTTACTGGTGTTGCATCCTCTGTCCTGCAATCATCACTTGAAAGACTTTATCTTTACTTCCCTTATGTGCCATAAGATTTTATCTTATTCTCTTCCTCTGTTTCCAGTTTCCTTCCATCTCTTTTTTGCCTTCTTTTCCCTCTTTCTCACGTTTTTCCTCCTGTGCCATTTATTTACAGGCTGGGAAAGAGCCAGTGAAGTGCTGTAGCTAGTTTTGAAATATGCCATTGGGTGCAGTAGAAAGCAGGCTGAACAGGACTGATAATTGTTGACATCACTGTACCACTCTTCCTTAATGGAGGAGCTAAGATGGACCTGGGTTTTTCTCTCTGTGTTCATTAATATTTGTGCAATTTAGAAGAAGTTAATACTGATGATTTCTTAGTCAAATTGGCTTGAAGATAGTGAAGAATGTCTGAAGTTATTAGTGTGCTTCTGAACAGAAAGCATAGGAATGGACAGCAAGATCACACAAACTTGATCTCCTTTAGAAAACTGATCTAAACCCCTGTTTCTAATTATGTGATAAATTTTGTACATTTAACATAATTAATCAAATAATTTAATAGGAAACATGTTTTTTTCTTACTTATCTGTATATATTAACAATCTAACTTCTTTTTTTTTTAGCCCAAATTTATTGTAACAGCTAGTTTTGGAGTAGAACCGAAAAGAAAAGTGGAATACATATCTCTCCTAGAAGGAGCACTGGCAAGAGTACAGAGCAAACCTGATAAAGTTCTCATTTATAAGCGACCTAATTTGGTGGGTGTACACTTGTTATGCCTTTATGTTAACTTTCAGACATTTATGTAGTGTGTGTGCCTTTTCTTTATTACAGGTAAAATTTTACTGTATCTATTGTAGTTTGTGTTTTAATTTTAAGGGCAGACATTTTATTCGAAAGATTGAAATAGCAAATAGAACTAATGCATCAGAGAGATTACTATACAGAAAATTGAATAGTAGTGTATAGAAAATTTGAATAGCGAATGTTTTTTGACCAAATTCTATTTATTCTGTCTGGTTTTCTTTTGACAATTTTCTTATTTTGCAATGGGCAGGGCCATGTTCCTCTTACCCAATGTCGTGATCTTGACTGGGAAGAAGAGCTTTCAAAAGCACAGTGTTCTAAATGTGTCTCAGTTCCCTCAGACCATCCACTTTATATTCTGTATACATCTGGAACAACAGGCTTGCCCAAGGTAAAGAACTATCTGTAGTCTACGTGTCTGTGACCAATCTATTTGCAGTTCCACTTGGGAAAATATTTAATTTAAAAGGTTGAAAATGTTTGCCAGAGCACAGTGCTATAAATGATAAACATTGCTAGAAATGGTTTGATCTTACTTATTCACATTTCACTACTTCAAAGGCAATGTATAGCAATAAATCATGTTTGTTTATTTAAATAGTAGTAATATAAAGATAAGATGCATTTACTTCAAAATGTTTGTACGATATAAACTTTTGAGGACAGCAGAATGTCTTTTATCCAGGACTATCTTCTGTGTTTTAACTGTTTTAGATAAGCGTAGTATAGTGACTTAGTGGCAAGATTTGTTAATATATCACTTGTGTGATAGTATTTATTGCGGGCTAGTCTTGTTCATTATTTACGTATTAGCTAATTTTCCTGTAGATAAGACATGGTGAATGACGTTACAGATTAAATGGGATTAAGCACATTCTGAAAACTTGTGTTAGTGAACAATTCAGAGGACATAATTCCCCTGAAAATAAATGTTTAGATTGAGTAAGTGAAAATTAGCATAGGATATTCTTTGAAAATGTTTGCTTTTGAATGTAAATTAGTTTTAATGACCTAGTTTTGAAGGATTGTATTTTAAAAGAGAACTGCCTCAGTGTTTGCTTGGTATTTATAATGCTCTTTTACAGTGTGTGGAAGACAAGCTGAATATAATTTTCTATTGCTAGTCTTACAACCACAGATTCAGACAGTATCATATATCCCTGGATATGACAGTGCTTAGACTACTACTAGAAAATTGTTTAATGATTTTGCCTATAAATTTCAGAATCTGTGAGGATGTAAGGGAAAACAAGTATCAGTTTTGCTGAGAAAATTGTCTTCTGCTTTTACATTCAAGATGGGCCCTTTAAAGCAACACATTTATCTTGAATTATTTTATTGTCAAAAAGGCCAAGATAAAATCCTTTGTTACTACAGGAATTTTCCTTAACTGTGAGTTTCAATATATTATCTCAGAGAGAAAAGTTCTCAGAAGTTTACTTCACTCTGTTGGCTCTGCAGAGAAAAATGTAGACATCTTGAGTGAATCACCCTTATAAGAGGGAGATTCTCATCTAGCACTAAGCTACAAAAAGTAACTCAGTGAATAAAATAACTTTTTTATTTGTTTAAGGAACTTAAGTGCTTATTCAACTAAAATTACTCAGTTTTGAGCTTCATAGCAAAACTCTTATTAATCTCAGAGCAGGAACTAAGAAGCTGAGTCTAACAAAGGCAATCTTCTATCTAAAAATGGTGAAATATTAGTTAACCATTCTCTCCCTTAGCAATCTCCATTTTAATGTGTTATTGTGTCTTTACAGTCCCTCATTTCTTGGATGAGGCCTGAAAGTCCCTCTTTCATTCTATGAAGTACGTCAAGTAAATGTACCATGCCTAGCATGGACAGATTGCTGCATTGTAATGTCTGCGCAGAGGATGTTTGAATTTTAGTTCATCTGAATTTTAGTTCAGGACATCAGGACATAGTTTAATTAATTCTTTCCTCTAGGAACGGTGTACTAGAAGGTGAAATATATGAAATGTATATTAACCATACTAATATTGCAAAATATTTCCAAAATGTTGCTATCAATAGTGTTCCAGAGCTGGTTATTGGTTTACCAAGGTGCATGATGCAATTGATTTGCATCTCTCATTCTAAATTTCCCTCTTTTAGGTGAACACTGGTACGCTCTTCATTTTGCATTTGTATGTGCACTTCAGGCCAGATATAAACTTTCAAAAATATACATTTGTTTAAGCCAAGTTTCTGACATCTTTAAAAAGAGTTAGTACAGAAAGACAGATACATTCATCCAAGTTCTCTTAGGGATTGTCTACTTCAAGGTGTTCCTCTTATCCAGTGATGATACAGAGACTAGGCAATGAATTTAAAACATGGCTAACATTTAGATGGCACAGTGTGAGATAAATACTCAGTCTCTTATTTTTTGTCAGCACATGTTGACTAAATATTTGTATATCCAGTTTTTATGAGAGAATTCTAGATTTGTCAGTGATCCTCTGAAAACTATTGTCATCTAGGTGTTGGGTTGTGGTTTTGTTTGTTTTATTGTATGTTTGTTTGTTTTCCAAAATTACTTCTTTACTGGAAGTGCTAGTACACACATGTTCTTGTTGGAATAGATGCTTTTCTTAAATTAGGAGTATTGGAATTAGCCAACCTTAAGTCTATTGCTGCTAAAACCTCAACGTGTAATTGAAGACAGAAATATAATTTTTTCCTTCAAATGACCTTAAATACTCGAATTTTCTTATTTAGGGTGTTGTCAGACCAACAGGTGGCTATGCAGTTATGCTAAACTGGACAATGTCAGCTGTATACGGACTCCAACCTGGTGAGGTAATTCCATTTAAATGTCATGTAAATGTTTTTTAATGATTCTTAAAACTTCTCACTCTAATTATGTTTTTATTTCATTTTAGGTGTGGTGGGCAGCTTCTGATTTAGGCTGGGTTGTTGGTCATTCCTATATTTGCTATGGACCTCTCCTTCATGGGAATACTACAGTTTTGTATGAGGTATGAACCATTCTAAAAAATCAGCCTTGGAAAAGGCAGCATCTCCTCCAGCTGATGATCTGGATGATCCCATTTACACCTGTCTGTTCTTCATGCCACAAATGTTTCAATTGTGTGCATATCTTCAATGTTCATACTCTCCCATTTATTACGGTAATTTTTAAGGAAAACTTATTTCACTGTCCTTTGAGCTTGTGTGCTTCATCTGTGTGAAGGGTAATGGTTAGCAGGGCAAGGAACTCTGAAGCAACAGACCTAGAAATGGCAGAAAGCGGAGTATACCTCTGTTGTTGATTAGACTACCTTTATTATGGATCTAGGAGCGGGTGTTGTGTTTTGCATGTCTTGAGATGAAAAACGCTGGATCTGAGTTGGATGCAACTGAAAGCTCCATGGCTGGAACTAGAACTTTGAAGGAGAATTGTCTCTTCTCTCCTCCCTCTACCACTCAAAGCAACTGAAACAAAGAGTGAGGTGACATTCAGGTCATAGTCCTTTTCCTTGTGGGATGAAACTCAGTGGGATGGAGAGGAGACAAATAGTCTGAGTAGAGTGGCCTGCTGCATCCTAACTTTGGTGTTCAAAATAGCAATCACGGTGCCTTACATTGTTGTTTTTTCAGGAGTTATTGTTGATTCGCTCTCTATTCATGAGGCAGGAAGTTACAGTTTTGCTTGAACCATCTTCTTTGTTCTTCAGGGAGTGTCCAGTATCCATTAGTGATAGTGAAAGACATTTTATGTAAAAGCACTGACGTTATTAGCTCTTAAGTGTGCTGAGACTTGTTTGTTTGCATGCACTTGACATTGGGATTTCTGGATGTATCCCAGCTTCTCCGGCAGCACTGTGAAGCATGATGCCCACCTAGTAATTGCTTTGTCTTTTTCAGTGGTCCCAGAAGCAGAAGTTGTTTTAGGTCTGCCATCATGGCATGCTAATCACCTTTGTAGGTTTGTAGTGATAGCTAGAAACATACGAACATTGAGGGAAATACAGTGGTAACTCAGATCATGCAAGAGCTGCAGACGTACAGTGAATGTAGTGGATACCGAGGGCATGAAATAAACTTTGATGACATTGTAAATATAGTGATTGTTAGAGCACTATCTGTACCCAGTCCTTCTGGAGCAGGGGAGGCAGCATGACACAGCAGAAACATACTGTTTTATCATATGTGCAGAAGTTCTGCTTAAGAAAATATTTATTACAACCAAACTTTTTCTATTTTCCTGTTATTACACTGTAGAAGTGAAGATGACCATCCTAGAACAGAAATGGATTGTTACTTTTTACAGGAATAAGCATTATCAAAACAATCCTTTAATCTTTGCACAACCAGTTAAATTGGTATTGGTTGAGTTGTGCTTCACTGTACTGAACTTATGCACTTCTGTTGATAGGCAGCTGCTGCTGGAGTTGTTCCTGAATTTTTAGTAAATATGTTTCTGAATCCTGGATATTGAAAAGGCATGGGCAGTTGTAATACGGTTCCTTCAAGTTTTTGAATGCTGCTGTGCGTCAGAGACTACAGAACTGACTGTGGCTTGCTACTTCCTATTTTGGAAGTTAGAAGTATGCTTTACTGCTCAAAATTCATTATCTTTGTAAAAGCGAGATTTTCACAAGCAGAAGACGCCTCTTGAAGTGGGTCAAGAATCCTCAAGTCCAGAACAGCAATTGTCATTAGGGATGTGTCTACATGATATTTCAAATCACAGCAGCAGTGCAGTTCTGAAATAAGTCCTCTGATAGTCCTTTCTTGTTGATTTGATTCACAGAGAGGTTTTAGTCATATGAATGCCATCTTTACAGAGAAAGCTGACACAAGTTTTGCCACTTAGGATCAAATGGTAGGATCCAATGAGTGGGACTGCACCGCTGTGGAGTTAAGTTTTCTGGGACAAAAGAAAAGCACATGTGCCAATGGGAAGCTTTTAAACAGTTGAGAGCTCACACCTTATCCTGTGCAAAAGGGCCAGATGTGATGGGAGACTTCATATTTACTGACTGCCAGATGTCTGCTTGTTCTGACTATCAGCTGCTCCTATAGTTCTCACAAGCTTTTGCATCTGTTCTCTTCACCAACCCCATTTCTTTTGCTGTTACTCCTCTTTCCTGCTGCTGTATTTTCCAATAGTGACAGGCATTGCATTGGTGTCCCAGAATACTGAGCAAGGGCAATGACAGCATATGCTCTGAAAGGTCCAAAAGCTTCTCCAGCACCCTGTTACACCACCCTGTTACTAATGTCGAGTCTGCTGCAGGATGTGACAGGGCTGACAAGAAGTGCTGCATTAAGTTCAATTAGATGAAGGTCATCTTCTTGATGAGATGGAAAAACCATTCTTCTGATGTGGCATGGTGTGTGTGCCCCTACCATAGACATCTCAAATAGATCTTCAGTGGAGGGGAGAGTACTCCACCAAGTCCACTGATAACAAGAACATCAACACCCTTAGTTCCAGGACCAACAATGTGTGAGAAAAGTCCCGGGAAAAGTGGGCTTACAGTGCTATACATGTCTATATGTGGATACCCCATTCCTGGAAGTGTTGAAGGCCAGTTTGGATGGAACCCTGAACAACTCCCAGGGCAGGGGGGTTGGAACTTTAAGGTCCCTTCTGACCCAAGCCATTCTATGTTTCTATATTTCTATGATATGTGCCTGCAACCCCCAGAGACAATATGCATGAGCATCCCCTCTGCCTCAGCGGGCAATAGGCAGTGGTCCAGATGCCCACATCAGTATGTGTGCATCTTCCTTTCCTGTACATGTATTGAGCAGACTGTGCTTAGGAGGTTTCTGGTGGAATTTGTGGTTGCAAAGCTGTGGGAAGGCAGCATGAGTCTGAATTGCCTGTGAGAGGTGCTGTGCATAGAGAAATGATTTCTGCGGGGCTGTGACATTCTGTGGAGCAACAAGTTCCATGAGAGACCACTTGCCTCATCCCAGCTCTGCCTGTGTACTAGGCATAGTCCTGGAAACCATATAATCCATGAACATGGCATGCCTTGATTACACAGGCCCCCTCAGCTTCTGCACTAAAGCCCAGCCAGTCTCAAATGCAGTGTGCTAAGGACCTACCCAGTGGTGATAGGGGTGCTGGTACTTCTAACCACGTGTGATATCTTGTTCCTGCCCTGCAGTCAGATGCTTGAACAACAAATGCCATGCAGGATGATACCATTTCTTTGAAATGCAGGTGGTGGTTGTTGGCAATATATTATCTATTTCTTGGCCCCAAGTCACACTCAGAAAAGGTCATAAAGGGAAGAACATGGCAGGCTGCAGTCAGGCATAATTGAATTAGGTGGGATTTTGGATTGAAGCATGGGAATGTGTGAAGCAGAGGTGTGGAGGAGGGAAAACCTGATAACAGAGAGGAGTATTGAGGGTTCTTTTCTAACCATACCATAATCAGTTCTTTTCTAATCATACCATAACATTTGCAGATGGCAGACACTGATGTCCAGTGGTATTCCTCCCATCCCACTCCATGCTCTCCTGGATACTCGGTGGGTTGATGACTGTTTTCAGTGAAGGATAAAGTCCAGACACAAGTGCATTGCTAGTTGCCCCACCCCATGACAAAGAGAGCAGAGGACTGTGCATACAGGTACTGCAGAAGCTGTGCTGAGTGTTTCAGCCTGAAGGAAGATCTCGAAGATGTCCTCACTGTTGGTTCAGACTAAAAGTAATACCCTGAATTTGTAAGAATATTAAAAACATTTGCAGAGTGTCTGTTGCCCATAGCCCAGTGTCTTTCAGATGAGCAATGTTGATTGCAGTTCCATTATGCATTGAGTAAAAGCACAGTTAAATTAGGCCTATGCTGCACTGTTGTCAGAGTGCACATGTACAACCTCTCTTGTGCTGGTTATTGGCACAGAGGACTTCATGAGTGATCCTCTCCCTTTTTGGCAAGAAGGCACTGGCATATGTTTTGGTTCTGTGAACAGAAGAGAAATGGAAGATGGGGGATATAGAAACCCTGTGGTGGAGTGTACTGATGATGCATGAACTGACTGTGCTACTGTCATCTGAAGGAAACAAGTGAAAGGGACAGAATGACACTTCCCAGAAGTCTCTTTAGTTAAGGGAGCAAAGATCTGTAAGGTAACTTTCCATCAGAAGACTGTGAGCAGCATTTTTGGTGAAGTGAACAAGGCAAAGTCTAGCCTAAAATAAACCTCAAACAGCATATAATGGAAGAGGTAAAGAGCATTGGCATTAAGTGGTTTGCTCTACTAATCTGTTCTAATTCACCTCACTACTTGCTATGTAAACAAAATCTGTGACACCATATGTACTTGCATTCATGTTTCATTTTATTATTTCACATTTTTGCCAATACATGTAGTAGGAAGAAGATTGATAATCTCTCACACAACAGCAGATTGTGCCTGGGTGACACCTGTGTATATTGCTTTGTACAAAATCCTGTTGTTTATCATTTTCATAACAGAAAAATTTAAAATAAGGAACAAAATGTAATGTTTAAAGCAAAGCTCACATGCCTTCATGCTCCCAGCCAATGATTGGAGCAGCTGGAAAAAACTTAAACAAATGCTTATTCTTATTTTGTATCTCCATGTACCTTCTGTCCAGATAAATTTTCCTGTCTTGCTTACATTGTGTTGACTGTAAAAACTTGCAATCAATGTGTTACTGAAATATATGATGCAGAGAATATCTACAGTGCAACTATGGCAATAAAAATCAGGCATTCGTTTAAGTATTGCTTATGATTAGCTCTTTTTTGATGAGTTTCCAATGTAATGATTTGGTGGAACCTGCTTGCTTCTGTGAATTTACAAACCAAATTACTGTGGAACTTCCGAAAAGCTTTTGAGTCAGTGATGAGGGGCACCTTGCTGATTGCGGGAGTGATGCTTTGTTCTTAGTGCACATGCAAGTTCTCAAAGGCATTAGGAAGCAATGTTTTTTTCTAGGACATTCTAAATAGAAAGTAATCAAGTAGTTTTTAAGAGAGGAGAAG